TACCCCCTTTCATTATTGCCTAAGTTTTTTAACATTTGATTTTCATTTACCCCCCTACAATGACCCCCCTTTTGGCTCAAAAAAAATTTTTGTAATACCGTTGAATTGCACCAGGTAAATTGGCCCCCTTTTTGCTTCAAAACTCTTTAAGGGGATGATGGTGAATGTTCGGGGGCATACTCGAATGGAAAACTTTGATCGCTGTGCCCCTTTCGGGTGGATGGACCTTCATAAGCTAGACACACCGCAGTGCAATGATTTTGAAAATAAAATGTTAAAAAAGGAAAAGTCCATGCGAAAGTTTTAAAATTTTAACACCCTTTTCTATACTTTAGTTTGAGGTTTTCCAAAACAGATCAATACCTTTTCAAAAATAAAGTAATTTTTCTTTATGAAAATATCACTGTTATGCTTTTATTCAAAAAATAATACAAATATTTTTCAACTTTATAATATCTAATTAAATCATTGTCAAACTTAGTTTATGCATAAAACTAAAAAAAAAAATGTACTAAGTAATGTGCTTTAAATTCAATAATGTAAAAGGGAGGAAATAAAGAAACGGGAGCGAAAAAACTAAGGAAAAAAAAAATTTTAAAAAAAAAACCCATCAGAAATAGGGATCATTCAGTTACTTTAATACTTTTTTTCTTTTTTAAAATTTAATGAAAAGGGGAGGTAACTTAAAAGAAAAAAATAAAAAATAAACGTTTTCGTTCCCAAAGTTCATAGTAGAATTTATGGGAAAAAATCGTAGAAAAAAAAATTTAATTAAAATTAAGTAAAAATTAAAATAAAAGATTGTATAAAATTAAATTTAAAACCTTTTAATTTTTCAAAAATGATCATTTTTGCGAATAAAAATGGGTTATAAAATCTTGAAAAAACCTTTTTTTCTGAAAAATTTTCTGTATTATTTTTTTAACAGTCATTTTGAAAAACAAAATAAAAAATGCATTTTCGGGTATTTTAAAAAAAATTAAACCTTCAAAAAATTTAAATGAAAAAATATTTCTCGGGAAAAATTTCAGTATATAAAACCTTTAAAAGAAAAACATGACCCCGGTACGAAAAAACCAACGTAAGCGTTTGCGACCAGCATGGACCCAAACCCCCTGCACTCGGCAGCCTGATCGGATCCTGTTTTTTACTATCTTTTTCTTTTTGTTTTGGGGTTTGTAAGGAACACAGGGATTTTTGATGCCCAACGGATGCGCAGGCGGGTCTGGATCATTGTGGTCAAAATCATTTTTTGGGTTTGTATGACGCAGCTCATTTTCTTGATAAAAAAGAAATACAGTAATTAAGCACTTTTTCTTTAACCCAATTTGCTCCAGCTGGAGAAAAAAAAGGTAAAAGAGTAAGGTTTTTGGAAAATTTTAAAATGCCACTTTAACATGTAAATTAAAACAAGTTAAAATTTTAAATTTTTAAAATGATTTTCAAAAAATAAAACCAAAAAGTGCAATGCTTTTTTGTTTTTTTAAAGTTTTTAAGTAAATTTGTAAAGGAAGGTCTACTTAAGGACATATTTACTTGATAATACATGGTTTTTAGTGATTTTTACTTTATTTGAAAAAATTTTTTTAAAATTTAATATTTATTGTGTTTTGATCACAATGTAGTCATGTATACCTTTTTACATGTACTCCCCTTCTTTATTATACCTAATTCCTGTTCAAAAACGATGTGATGCTGTTTTGTATGTTTTTTTCTCCCCAAAAGCAAATTAATTACTTCAAAAAAAAGAAGTCTGTCCTGAAGTCCCAAAAATGAATTTTTTCCAATGAAAATGTTTTTTTTTTTTGCCTTAAAATTTACATTCATTTAAACAGATGATTTATCGTAAAAATTTTTATTTTTTTAAAACCTTTTATTTAACAGAGTGTTTGGTTTTTGTCATTATGTTTTTTATTGTTTTTAGTTGGTTTTCCAACTTTCTTTATTCTGAAAGATTTTTGAATATCTTCATTTACATTAAATCGACCACATTTTATAATTTAATTTCACAACTCATCTTCCTTCATCCTTACCTCTTCTTCGGATCCCCCCTTTTTTTCGGTTTTTTAAACTTCTTTGAGTTTTTGGAATGCCCCAAAATCTATTGTTCTTTAAAACTCTTTTTTTCTATCCTTCAGACAAATTTTTGGACTCTTAATATTGTATGCAAGGCTTCTTTTTTTTAGGCTTTAAAAAAGTTCTTTTTTTTGTTTAAAACTTTTTTAATTTCCCCGCGGAATTTCCCTTTTATTTTTCGTTTTTTTCCCCCTTTGGGAAAAGTTGACTCTTCAAAAATTTGGGGTACTATTATCAGTTGTGTTAAAAATTTTTTCCTTAGTAAAATCTATGTGAAAATTTCAAATTTGCGCATCAAAATTTATTTTCTTCTACCTTTTTACCTTTAATTGCAGTTTAAAAATTTTTTAGAATTGAAGGGTTGGTTTGAAATTTTTCATTTGAATTTAATGGTGTTTGCGTCTTGCCTTTTTTGTGTCGGTTAACATTTTGCTTCCTTATTTTGTCATCTTCAGGTAAAATAAAACTTTCAAATTATTCATTTCCACTGGAATACCCTTCTTAAAAATTCATGATTTGACTTGGAATTTTATAAATTTTTTTAGAAAAATTTTGGTTTTAAATTGTTTTTGGAAAAAATCGATCTTCTGCTTTTTCAACGTTCAATTTCAAATTTTTTAGGCCCCCTTCCCTCTTTTCAAAAAATCATTTAAAATTTTTTGATTTTTCTCCTTTTTTCTTTTTCTTTTTTTCCATTAGCCATTTAAATCCTGGTCTATCCCCTTTTAAATTCAAATTTTTCCCTGGGGTTCTAAATCTAAATGAAGAAGAATTTTTTTGTTGCATTAAAAAATTTTATTATCATTTTTATCTGCTGTTTTCATTTCCAAAAATAAATGTGCTACCTGTTTCTATGTCAATGGCATTCTATATATTTTTTCTTTTATTCCACTTCATAATCTCTGTTTTGGAATTTTAAAACATTTAAATTTTGTCCTACTGTCCCCCGGGGACCAGTTTAAAATTCCTTTTGCTTCGACCCTATTTTTAATCCCAAAGATCCTTTCTTTTTCTAAATTTTTGGCCAACTTTTTTTTAGTTTTCTTTCCCACTTCAACTTGACTTTCCATATTAATACATTCAGCATCAATGTGTTTTTGAGTATCTATCAGCAAATCTTTATCTGCTACCCCCAAAGCAAATTTAAATGCTCAGGACTTGTTGCCAAATTCTTCTTTAGGTGTTTCATTTATTTTTATGTGGTTTTCACCCATTTTTTCACCTTTTTCAAAATTATGTCTTTTTTCATTTCAGGCTTGATTTGATTATCTCACTGTTTTCAATAATAGGAATATTTAAAGCTCTTCTTTTTCGCCTCTTCTCTTTTTTCTATTAACATGGGGTTGTTTTCAATGACACAAACTATCTGTATTTTAATTCATTCTTTAGCTACATTTTCACCAAGAATTCTCTTCTTCAATTTCAGGAATAGTTTTTTCAATTCATCTTGACATTCATTCCTTACAACTTTTTCCTTTCAGGTATGTTTCTACTCCAAGCATTATTTAGATCAGTTTTATCCTCAAACACCTTGCAAACCTCACCAGTATCTTTACTGACATATCTAAAACTGTTTTACTTGGCATCAGAATTTGCCAAACTTTTAATTTTCATCAGCAGTGTTTATTTTTTGTTCAGTACTTTCTATTCTTTTTTAAAGATTCCTGGTTAGTTTATATCAAAACTGTTGAGTGACAGCAAATTCAACATTTTCATTATAAACCCTTGAAGAAAAGTTGTCATCGTAATTCATCAGTCAGGAGCACAGGAGAGTTCATATCTGATATACCAGAACAGCTTGTTTTACTGATTGCATGTTCAGGTTCTCAACAATGATTCTATTATATGATGTTGCCTGCTTCACCAATCTTCATGTTTGTTCTCTTACCGTACAAGAGCTTTTTCCTTTTTGTCATTGCTTAAACATCCATATTTAAGCATTTGTTAGGTATCAAAGAACAATTTTCTGTCTCTTGTTTTTTTAGCAGAACCAGGTTCTACACTGATCCACTGACTTATTGCACTTAGAGATTTTTTTCAATTTTGACTTTTTTACAGCTTAAAAGATTGTTTCAATGTTGTATTTTGTTTCTTTACAGTTTTCCAGCACTATTATCACCCTTACAATCTGACGGTTTCAGTGTTTTTAAATCCTTTATTTCTTTCATTTTCTGATCCTAACTGATCAACGCGTTTGTAAGCATCAGTTTACGCATGTTTTTTCTAAGTTATTGCACCCCAAGTTGTGACTGGAAAATTTTTGTTTAAATCGGTGATGCACAACACATTTGTATGTATTACTGCTTCCAGGGCACCCACCATCAAAAAGATGACTGGTTTTCACAAAAGTTCAACAAACTTTACCTGCAAAAGCTTTACACATAGACATGAATCCCGGTGAAATTGTCAGTAAAATCCCCTTGTGGAGTGACATTCATACTGGTAATTTTTCATTAAACAACACTGTTTTCTTTATCAGATTGAGAGGAATCGGACATTCTGCGGTCTATTCCTGGAGATTCGTGTAAAGACTTGCCATTAACATTGGGTATAAGCAGCCTGGTATAAGACGAGCTTTCATCCTCTTCAGCATCACATGCCATTTTTGTATTACAAACTGTTTTTCTCATCAGTATTGTTTTCATGTGTATGTGTTTTCCCTTCACGGTATTTTTGGTTGTACCTGTATTATTCAGGTGGGACATGGAAAATGACGATACATTTGATTAGACTGCATTCAGATTGGAGGCGTGATATTACTTAATCTGACGCATTAAGAGATATATTTTTCTGCAGAGTTATCTCCCTGAATTTTCAATGTTTATGTCAGTAAAGGACTCATCTAGTATTTGAGAGTCATTAAATTTTCTCCCCATCTTCTCTTTTTAAAGTATTTTCTTTTTTCATTGAGCTCTTGCCTCTTCACTTTCATTGCTGTTTTCACATGACCCTGAACTCCTTTGTTTAACTAGTGCATTTTCATTTGATGTATCTAAGTTCTCACTCAAACTGTTTGTTCTGGTTACAGGTTCACTACAGTCATCAGACCTCATGTCATCACATGATTTTGAAAGGCTAACTTGAGGGTAATTAGCATCATATGATGATGAAGAGACTTCAGTTTTTAAAGTCTCTCTACTGTTGGTCAAACTGTTTGTTTTTGTTATGGGTTCTTCAATATTATCTAATGTCTGGTCTCGATATGTTTTTGTAATGTATGCATTCTGGGTATTTAAAATGTGGTTTTCTACATTCTCTTCTACATCAGGGTCATTCAGTCTTTGGTACCAGTCCAACCAATAGACTGGATCTACGCCTGCGCTTCTTAACAAACTGGTTCCAAGCTCTCACACCACATACTACCAAAACACCGCCTGGTTCCCATTAGACTGAATTTCTGAAAAAAATATAAAAAAACTGTAAACAAGATGCTCGATCAAATGGGCTTACCTTATTAGAAGCGGAAAATGTAATCAAAGGTCAAGTTTAAACTATAAGGTCAGTTGTATTATTATGATTTCATGACTTTTCTGTCATTTGTAGAAATTCTCTTGGCAATCCTCATACTAAGAATCTAAGCTCTGATTATTGAAGTTTTAGCCAAGAAGTGTTGTTTGATTCCTACAGATGTAAGTCTAACAAGAGCTTTCAGTAGACAGTGTGCTCATCTAATCTCAGTGCTTGATAGTAAACAAGAGCCTGAATACTGTAGAAATTTCTAAGTACAAAAAGGACTGTAATTCTGTCAAAATCCATTTATGGGCCTTAAATAGTGACCACCTATTGTGCTCTCAAATAAATGTTTCAACCAATGCCCTTCAGTAGTTTTTGAGATAACAACTTGCGTGCAAAAACTTTACCAAAGTGTGATACTGATGCCTGTAGATAGATAGATAGATAGATTTATTTCGGCATAAAGGTAAACATGTTACATGATAAACAAACACAATATAGATTAAAACAATTACAAATAAATAAATAAATAAATGAATAAATACTATATTATGTAAACCATGACATGTTCCCAAAACCCAGGATAACACAAACAAGAGGGCCATGATGGCCCTAAGGTCGCTCACCTGTATGTAGGCCCCCAACCCCCCCCCCCCCCCCCCCCAACGTTGCAGGGCCAATTCAACCCAAGGGCTTTTATTTGCACAAACTTGGTAGACACCCATGAGAAGATGTTTCATGCTAAACATCTAAGCTCTAGCTCATTGGGCTTTTTAAAAGAAGATTTTTTTTAAGTTTTTACTATACACATATAGTAAAAAACAATGACACCCCTGGGCCGGGCCAGTTTGACCCCAGGGCTTTTATTTGAACAAACTTTGTAGACACTTACTAGAAGATGTTTCATGCTTAATATCTAAACTCTAGCTATTTGGGTTTTTTCAAAGAAGATTTTAAGTTTTTGCTATACACATATAAAGAAAATCAATGACCCCCGGGCGGGGCCAATTTTGACCCCAGGTCTTTTATATGAACAAACTTTGTAGACACTCACTAAAAGATGTTTCATGCTTTATATCTTAACTCTAGCTATTTGGGTTTTTTCAAAGAAGATTTTTTAAGTTTTTGCTATACACATTTAAGGAAAATCAATGACCCCCGGGGCGGTGCCAATTTTGACCCCAGGGCTTTTATTTGAACAAACTTGGTAGACACCTATTAGAACCTGTTTGATGCTAAATATCTTATCCATAGCTCTTTGAGTTCTTTAAAAGAAGATTTTTTAAGTTTTTACTATATGCATATAGGGAAAATCAATGACCCCCCGGGGCGGGGCCAATTTTGACCCCAGGGCTTTTATTTGAACAAGCTTGGTAGACACTTATTTGAACATGTTTCATGCTAAATATCTTAGCTCTAACTCTTTTGGTTCTTTAAAAGAAGATTTTTTAAGTTTTTACTATATGCATATAGGGAAAATCAATGACCCCCCGGGGCGGGGCCAATTTTGACCCCAGGGCTTTTATTTGAACAAACTTGGTGAACACCCACTAGAACATGTTTCATGCTAAATATCTTAGCTCTAGCTCTTTGGGTTCTTTAAAAGAAGATTTTTTAAGTTTTTACTATATGCATATAGGGAAAATGAATGACCGCCCGGGGCGGGGCCAATTTTGACCCCAGGGCTTTTATTTGAACAAACTTGGTAGACACTCACTAGAAGATGTTTCATGCCAAATATTTAAGCTCTAGCTCTTATGGTTTTTTAAAAGAAGATATTTAAAGTTTTTTCTTTCGGTTGCCATGGCAACCAGAGTTCTGCATGGAATTAAATTCTTTGAACAATTTTTAAAGGTGACCACCAAAGGAACATTCCTGTGAAGTTTGGATGAAATTGGCTTAGTGGTTTATGAGGAGATGTCATTTAAAGTAAAAGTTTACGGACGGACCAACGCCGGACGAAAAGCGATCACAAAAGCTCACCCTGTCACTTTGTGACAGGTGAGCTAAAAAGAGCAAGCTCTTATTTCCATTGTGGTCCTTAGCATTTGGTGGCGGACATAGAGAGGTATTTCATAAAAGAAAAAAAAATATCACAAATTATAAGATAAATCACATTAATGAAGGATATCATTTAAAATCATCACAATTTAAGATGTAAGGTATTGTAAATAAAAAGTCATTAACACATTAAAAAATAAGTATGTGCATAGTAAGAAAGGATTACATTAAAAAAAAAAAAATATCACAGTTGTTATGAGTATGTAAGGAAAGAACATGCCATAGATTACACTATTCAAAAAAATATAGTTTTTAAAATCTTAATAAAAAATTTAAAACAAATATCAAAAAATGAAACAGTAAACCTGAGCCGAAAAATAATTCAATAAAAAAATGAAAACATAAAATTTTCTTGCAAGAAATTTTAAGAAAAACACTTAGATGCTACTTAAAAAGTGACTTTTGATGGCTACCTTAAAACGATGAAATTTGTTAATTTCAGTTATGCAAGTTGGAAGACTGTTCCATAGTTTAGCACCAATAAAACTGAAAGACTTTGACCCGGAACCTTTAACCTTAGGAAGACAATACCCTCCTTTTTTGCTCAGTCTGGTGCAATAAGAATGCATAGATTCCTGAGAAACAAAATAATCACTTAAGTACTCTGGGGCCATTTGGTTTTTAACCTTTAAAACGTGACATAACATGATTTGTTCAACTCTTTTACAAACTGGTAACCAATTAAGGGATTTAAAATGGGAAGGGCCAATATGAACTCTGGAATCAAGGTTTAGAACAAATCTCATCATTTTATTTTGTGTTGTCTGTAATTTATTTTTCAAGACCTGAGTTAAACCATTATACCAGACACAGCAGGCATAGTCGAAGTGGCACTGAATTAATGAATTGACAAGCAGTTTTTTGGTATGCTGTGTAAGGAAATCTTTCTTAAGGTAAAGGAACTTCAACCTGGCGTTAGCCTTCTGAATTACTGAGTCTGCCATGTAACCAAAGGACAGGTACTGATCAATAGTTACCCCAAGATATTTGATGGATGTGGATGCTTCTATTGCAGTGCCATTACAATTTATGTTTAATTTGGAATGTGACCTGAGTTTCTGTTTAGACCCAAACACAATGGACTCAGTTTTACCTAAGTGCAACGATAACTTATTATCAATTAACCATTGACTTACTGAGGACAAATCTTCAGATACAGAAATTTCCACCTCAGATAAATTTTTCCAGAAACAAGTATTCCAGAGTCATCAGCATATAGCAATAGTCTGTATGAGTCAACTGTCTTCAGTTAAAGTCCATGCTAGGATTATGGACCTTGGATTGTGACCTCTAATTATGATCCCAAAGTGATGTATTAAGTTTAAAGTAAATGCCTACAATATTTTTAAAGATGACATTGCATGCAAAACATTAATCAAGAATTTTCAAAATTCAAAAAAGGGCTATAATTCAGTTAAAATTCATGATATACTTACAGGCCTTGGAAAATGACTTCCAATTATGATCCCAAAGACTTGTATTAAGAAGTGAATATTTTCAGTATTTTAGAAGACTGGTGTTGCATGCAAACTATTACCAAGAATTGTCTAAGTTCAAAAAGGGCAATAACCCCATCAAAATCCATGCTAGAGTTATGGATCTATGAAAGTGACATCCTATTAGTAATTATTATACATTCAAATTAGTGTGTGAAGTTACAAGCAAATATCATTTTATAAGTGGTTAATGAGATATGACCAACTTTAACCAAAGTGTTACAATGATTACTGAAAAATGCTCTCAAAAGTATCAGAAAGTCAAGGGTGTGGGCAAAAATAAGGGTCAGTCAGACTTTCAAAAACCATAAATATTTTAACATTTGGCCATGACAATACAAGAAAACATCTTTTAATACCTTTTGATGAAGCATCTTCAACATTTTCATCCAATGTGTCAAGATTGAGTGGCATAACTACGGATGTACGACGCAGATTTCTCACTGAGCGTCTCCTCTTCCTCAATGCTTTCTCCTCAATATCCATGGCAACAGATCACTGTCTCACTGTCTATTGTGCAACCCTCGCTTCATAAGTCTGAAAGTATTCAATGAAGCAATGCTGTCATTTTGTCTCAATAGCTTACATTACAATGTGTATATTTAATTTTTCATTTTCTTTTCTTTCAGATACAAGTGCATTAATAACAGTAATGATTATAATTTGTTTTTGTTTGATTGGGTTTAACGTCACACCGACATAGTATAGGTTATTTAGCGACTTCCAGCTTTACTGGTGGAGGAAGACCTCAGGTGCCCTTTCGTGCATTATTTCAGGCACGAACGGGCACCTAAATAGAACCACCGACGTTCGGTAAGCTTAGGCTGGATAGCTTCCTCACATGAAAGAATCCAAAGTCCCTGTTGGGATTCGAACCCACAGCGGAGAGGGGCAAGTGGTTTGAAGTCAACGACCTTAACCACTCGGCCACAGACGCCCCTAATGAAAACCCTGTATATATATTTTAATCTTTAACATTTCTGTCAAATTTGGCTGAAATTTAATAACTAAATCTTAAGTATCTCTGAAATTTTACTATTCAGCCCATGAAGTGAAGTGATTATCCAAGGACTTTCTAAGGGCATTTAAGCATTTTTAGTTTCTTCATGATGCAGGCAAATGCTTTAAGATAATTTTTTGCTTTTCAAGCAAAAAATAAACAGCTCAGGGTGAGATTTTTGAGTCAATTCGGCACCAAAAGATGTTCCGGCCCCAAAGAACCCAAGACGTTTCGTCCACAGCATGTCGGCCCTTTGAACCAAAAAGGCCCTATGTTAAATATTTCAAATAAGTTTCATTATGTAACTATGTTTTATACAATAATTATCTTAGAATTCCAAAAATTAAACAAAATCTATCAGACTTAAAAAAAAAAAAAATTATGCATTTATATATATAAAAATATTTTTGAAATAGAATAATCAGGGTCTTTCAAATTTGAAAGACTCTGGATTAATGAATAAAACATGTGCTTTATTTACAGTGTTCGAAATTAGCAGTAGTCCTATAGCCCCTGACTACTAAATTTCTCCTCAGGCTACCAACTTTTCACAGTAACAAGCCCGAACACAGGCTACTGTATTTTCAAATGGCAATAATAAAAACTGTTTTGAAATGAAAATGTGTTGTGAAATGTGATCCTTTGGGTAGTGATTATTCCAAATCTTGGGTAGTCCGACCAGCCTAGTCGATTCTAAAATTCCTAATTTCTGACACTGTATTTTAACAGAAAATAATCCAATAAAATATATTTATGCATTAAATGAATTAATGTATTGAAATAGTAACTTTTATTTTTGATTTTATAATCAATCATTACCGTTCAAAATATTGATAATTAATCAAATATTGTCAATTCAATTATTAAAGTAAATATCTTATAAGCATTTTTATTAGCTTTTCACTGATGCATTTCAAATCACAAATTAAATTAAGCTAAAATCTTGCTACTTTTTCAGTTTGGTAAAGTTGATTTTGATATATATTCATAAATATAAACTGATTTCAAGAATTTTTATATATAGGTTATTTACGTATTATGAAAGAATTACAGTCAACCCAGCCCCAAAGTTTACCCGGACCAATTTCAATCCGGGGTCCCATATGGTCAATCCAGCCCCACATTATTTATTAGTTGGCCAATGCAGCCCCAAAAATTGGTTAAATCGGCCCCCCAAATTTTTTTTTTTGATTTTCAAAGTACATGTAGTATTATCGCTGAAAATTTGAAAACTAATCAGACCACCCCGAAGACGCTGACAATCGATAGTCCTTTTTGAAAAAATCTATTATTTAAGTATTCTTGATCGTGAAAATTCTGAAATTTGCACTCGTTTTGAAAAAAATCAGCTCACATTTCATTTTGACCCATGATAATTTCAGATGGATGCATGGAAATTTTTTACTGTTTGTCAATCAATAAATGCAACGCAAGAATTTCGCATTGGACAAAGCAATTAGCCCCGCCTACAGGTTAGTAGGCGTGACGAATTAAACCGCATTAAAGTGGTTAAAGCTATTCATTGATGAGTACACTGACTCGTAGTTTGCTTTTTTTAGGGAAAGTATAACTATATAAAGTCGTCCTACTCAAAGATCAATAAACACGACGATACTATGTGTTATAATAATCTTTATTATTGGTAAACAAAATAGTAGCATGTACGTGTGCTGATTTGTCACACTTTCGTATGAAGATTGACTGCGGACAAATTCTAAATTTCATTGGTCCTTTATATATATTTCATCGGTCTTTTTATTATTTTTAAGGTTAGTTTTTTTTGCAGTAGCTAATTTTATTGTTAATTACCAACACCTTTCTACAATTATTGTAAGATCTTTTATTTTCCGCCGAATTTTAAATCCACGAACAATGTTTTTTCAAGAAATACTATTGCAACTGTTTTGGTAATTTTCATTGTTCAAGATTCGCAAGCATTATTTGAATTGATGTCACATTTTAGCGTTTACTATGGGCAAAGTTCCCATCTTTGATGTGCTGTTGACTAGCAATTCATTGTGGACTATCGCTAAAAAAGCCCTGTTTAAAACTAGGATTTCTGGCATTAAACATTCTCAAAAAAAAAAAAGCAAAGAAAAACATTCATGGAAACTTGGTTACATAACAATTTTAAATGGTTGGGGAATTGAAAGTTGTTGAATGAAAAACAATGTAAAAATTATTTATACATGTCATCGTGAAGCAAATAAGAACTGCACTTCTTTAGAATCTTACCCAACATATTTAAAGCATAGTGCAATTGAATAGATCAAACAGCAAATCCAGATCACTTGGAGTTAGCTAATGCTAGAATGCTCATCAATTCTAAAATTCAAGAAGCTAAACAAATGGCACAAAGCTCAACCACAAAGGTCTGACTGTGTTGAATATATCTTAATTTGTAAAAAAAAATAATTATATAGAAATAAATAAAAACAACAAAATTTCACAATTTCATACTTCAGTCTATGCGAAAGACTTCTGAGTTTTACTGGACAGTAGGTCCTGTAAACTGAAAATTTTTACTGGACCAAACATAATTTTACTGGACCGAAAAAAACCTAATTGGTATAGCATTTTGAGTCACTTGATAAGTGTCAGCAGTCAAAAAATTTGTGTACAAAAAGAAAATTATATTATCAACAAAGTGAAGTTTTCTTTTTTCACCACAATCAAAATGTAAACATAAATATTGTTATACATGTATTCAATGGATTTTGCTATTTAAACTTTAATTCTATACAGACTATATACTAGCAAAATGAGAGGGTAAATTTCAGCAAAAGTCTGGCATATGTAAGCAGAATTATATATATCGGTAATTTAGTGAAGTTGACAGATTAATTGTTCAATGATTTTGGTACCTTCACAGTATAGTTTAATTTTTGTCAACATCTTGGACGATCTTTCATAGCTAAACACCAGTTGAGCACACGTGTAATTAAGCATTACTCTAAGTCTGTGGATTAAAGACGTAAATTGTTTCCAATTAATACACCAGTTGACACTTTCATACTGCTGTAAACAAACTAATAGCGGGTGACCTTTCACATCTGGGCCGCTTATGTAATTATGCGGCCGCTTATTGACTTTTAATTGTACTAGTTGTCGGATATTTTTATCTTACGTAGTTAAATAAAAGTTTGCATTATGAGAATGCATAACAGTTGACAAGCATTGCACAAGCTTATATTGTGTAATGACAACATTTTGATATGTTTTAAATTTAGGTAAATGATCGGCCTTTGCAAAATGTTGAATGTAAGGTTTTTATAAAACCTTAATTTTTTACCGGACCGTCGGGCCGTCAATACTTAATTTTTATCGGACCTTCTGATTTTTTACCGGTCAGGGCCGACGGTCCGACGGTCTTTCGGAAAGACTGATACTTTTCCTTATGACAGTCATAGGGGTGTAATCGATTCAATCGATATCGGTGTATCAACGATCTTTGTTATTCGATTCGATTCCATTTTTTAAATATCGGATATCGAATGCACACATATTTCTAGCTAAAGAGACTTCAGCAAACAGGTATTATTTTACTGATAGACCAAACGTCAAAATAAAAGCGACATATAAAGTTATGGAAACCAGAACTAACATAATTATTTCAATCATTTTTTTTCTAATCAACACCAGAGTTACCTCCCAGTGTCTCTAACGAATACTGCTGAATTTCGTTGTAATCTTGCATGTCTGCTAAGTGGGGGTCAAGACCCCCCAATTCAGATTTTTAAAACGGAAAATGCCAAGAAAATTTTTGTCAGTGTTTCTTTGTAAAAATTATGATTACAATATGTTAAACTTTAATAATTATTCCAGTTCTAAACATTATAATTTGCCAATTAAACACCGACTTACTTATGGAACGGCAAGGACGGGATTTAGCATAATCCGTAACTACATGTATGTAATAGCAACAACAACAACAAATGTAGAATGTTTGTTTACGGCAGACAATCGATTATGTGGTATGATTATCTAAAGTGATTTTTGAGTTCGAAACCAAACACTATTTTTCAAAGTATATTTTATTAAATCAAATTATTATTTTCAGATGATATTATGCTTCTTTGCTTTTCTCTGTTATTTAAACGGGGAAGTCAAAGGCCGGGACAGTGAAGCAGGCCCGGGCTTTGGCTTGCCCAGCTATAGACTACACATGAATATTTAAAAGAAAATCAAATAAAAAAACAATTAAAGAATATATAGAATTCTATACCTATCAACGAAATTTTCAGTGTCAGTTCTAGTTGGGCGCTGCCAATTACAAATAAAAGTCAAAGGCCAGGACAGCGAAGTTTTCGGAGTGAAAATGGAAGCAGTGCATGAAATACCAAATGACACCTTTAATTTTAACCGGAAAAAAGAATGATTTTTTTCCCCGACTTCCCTGTCAATAGGCTTTGCCTAATTCCATATTAAATAATGGTAAAATATTATATATTAAAAAATAATAATGGATTTTCAAAATACGTATTTTGCCACAAATATTAAATAAGAGTTCTTGCGAAAAATGGCCGAAACGTCTTGCTAGTCCTAAAGATATGACATCGCATTAAAATATTTTTGCTTCTGGGCCTGACCGAAATACACTATAACAAACCTGTAATGTCCGATATTGGGCTAGTTTCACTTTAAGGGCGAAACGTCCTGCTTGCAGGAGTGAACTGAAGGTTTGAGATTATTTTGGGTGTGAAATTGGTACTTATACAATAAATCAGTGATTATTTTCGGGGTCAAATAATATACAAATATGTGATATTGTTCATTGTGATCTATATTTAGTTAATTTTTCATTATTTTTCAATAAACAATAATTTTTCAGATTTTACTATCGCGAAATCCTATTATAAAATGAAATTTACAAAAGGAAATGATGATAACATTTGGTAAATCGATGTTATATAAATCGTGCACTGATATAAAATGATACTGTGTCAGTAAAATAGTCACATTTGCAATTTACAATGTTTTTGTTGTGTTTTCCTCTTTCCCGGAACTCGATTTTTAAAATTGGAGGGTTGTTGTCACGTGATTTGTCCGTTTAAAATCCGTTAGCACCGTTTCTGGTACGGATGCATATGGAAATTAGCTCAGTCTGTTAAAACGGGCTGTGACTAAAAAAAGAATTGGAGCACCACACTAAATACCGTATTCCGGTATATACCGGACAAGGCGCTTGAATGATAAAATGCTAAAATCTTGTCTTTTTACCCAACGGAATGAACTTTAACAGGTCTAATTCATCTTTTCACACCGAATCAAGTACGATAATCAAGGGAAAATGTAAAAATCGGCGAAAAAAACGATATTTGTCTATTTTGTGATCATGATTTCTGCAAGCGTCTAGAGGTACTGCTCCAATCCTGTATTGAGCTAAATCCGTTAAAACGGAAGCGGAACCAGCAAATGTAAACATTCCCAATCGACGACACTACCAATTTCTGTTGTTTTTCAGTTTGCCTTATTTAACTAGTCAGCGATGCCTTACGTTATTGGAGATCAAAAGTGCTTTCCATCTGTTGACTCTACAGATAATGTTTTAACAGAAGAATTTTTAGAGGCAGCGAGAGGTGCTGTACAAATAGTCGGTAAGGTCACAAAGATTTCGAGTCATTTCGGCCCCTAGAAGTTTCGGCCCCAAATTACGAAGACATTTCGACCCCGAACGATTTCGGGCCTTTACCAAATCGGCCCCATTTTTAGTTAAGAATAAGTCTTACCTTTACGTGTTTTAGCATTTTAATAAATGATTGAATAAAAGGAATGAATGAATTTATTTAGGAAGTGGCTAGCCGTACGGGCCTGTACGGCTAGCCAAAAGTTCTAGCCGTACGTGAGTCACGTACGACTAGCCTAGACACACTGTATTGGCTAGCCGTACGGCACTTTTCAAAATTATATGGAAGTCGAAAATGCATATGTTATTTCGTGTCTTTAAACAACGATTTTAATCAAATCTCTGCATTTGTCCTAGTGTGTTCACTTTAATAAAGATGCTCCGCAATTTTGCACACAAAAATGAATACGAGTAAGCGTTGTATAATCATTCTTAATAAAATTAAGTGTCAAAGTTGCATGTTATAACGTCCTTAATTTTCATGCTTATGATTTGTATGAAAGATGAATTGTTAAATCTGTTAATTAAGCACATGGATCGAATAAATAATGATCGGAGGGGAATAAGTAAATAAATAAAAAGAATATTAAAAAAAAAACGGTGAAAAGGAAAAATAATTTAATAATATGCAAACTTTTCTTAAGGACGATGGACAAACTTCTATACTGTCGGTAATTGACGCAATTATTAGAGCCCAACAACAATTATTTTCGGTGTTTTTTTGTTTTGTTTTTTTTTCTTCAATTTAAAAATTAAACTTAATGAAACAAAAAAGGATTATTATCAAAATGTTGTAAACTATTTCAATTGATGTTATTTAACTGCAACCAAACGCTATTTTTTCTCGACGTCTTGAGATGACAGTAAATTCTTTACTGTAGCCAACACGTCGATTTATCTCTAAAAAGTAAACATTCTTGACTAAAATCCTCGCTTAAAGTCATAATTAACATATGCATATCGCCTTCCATATATTTTTGAAAAGTGCCCTACGGCTAGCCAATACAGTGTGTCCTGGCTAGTCGTACGTGACTCACGTACGGCTAGAACTTTTGGCTAGCCGTACGGGCCCGTACGGCTAGCCACTTCCATTTATTTAATAATTAAATTATGATTTTATAATATGCATAAATGCGGCTAAACTAGTAGTAGTAATCCAAAACAAACAGAACAGAACAAAACTTTTGTAAAACAAAACATAGTATACGAACACTGAAACAGATTTTTATAAGCTTATTATCAACAAGCACTTTTTTAATTTGAACAATTGAAAAGCAAGACACAGAACAATACATGAAACAAACATTTATTATCAACAACTTTTAAATTAATAGTAAGTGATGAGTTTCAGCGATACACAACAATTTGATATTACTAACCACTAGATAGCAATAAGCATATAAATAATTAATTTGTTACACCTTGAAAAAAATAAAAATAAATATTTTATATAAATAGTTAAATAGCTGTTAAATAATCAATAGAGATCAAAAGATAATGATTTTTGAGGTGCAGTTGTATTTAAATTTTAACATTGTTATTGCAGTTTGTCAACTGTCTTATAAATTAAGAATTAAGTGTCTTTATTTATTATTACACCTTGAAAAAAATAGCATTTATCTAAATAGTTAAATTGTTAAATTAAGATTTTGATAACAGATTATTAAATTTTTAAGGATTTTAAGTACAAAAAATCCTTTTTAAAGTTAATAAAAAAGGGCCGAAACGTCTTGCTGAAAAGGGCCCAAACGTAAAGGGGCCAATTTTTGCACAGGGGCCGATTTGGTTTGGGGCCGAAATGTTCTGTTTGCATCACAAAGCACCTGGTGAATTAGTAAGAAGAGGCTGGTGTAAAAATCCCAGTTTTTCGAATTTTTTAAAAATGTAGTTTATATGAGG